TGTTCATCCATTCATTCATTCATTCTCTTACTAAAAAACAGTCATGTGTTAAGCACTGTGCTAGCTGCAAAGGATTCAATAATAAACCTGGGAATGCATAGACCAGTGAAGGCACATATGTAAGTAGAGGCTGTGACATCACTACCTGTTGTGTGCAGTTTTAAAGGGAGCTCAAAAAAGAGGGGCTGTTTCCTTGACATGGGATGTAAAGAAGGTATCCCAGGAGGGTAATGGCAAAGCTAAACCTGAGTAGCAGGAGGTGGTCAGGCAAGGGTGGCAGAGCAGAAGCTGTTCTGACTAGACAGGCTGTGCATCAAGCACTTGGAGGCTCAGTGAGCAGTCATGTGGCAGAAGTTCAGCTGCTGTTTCAGAGGACTGAGCAAAAGATGAGGGCTGATAGAAGAGCAGGGATCAGGTGCTGAAGAATATCAAGAGTTCTGATTCTATCAGAAGGGCAGTGGGGAGCTGATGAGTTCTAAGCTCCTGAGTGCACAAGCTCAGAATCCCTTGCCATTTAACACTCATTGGGCACTTTCATCTCTCAGCATTTTAAAGAAATGACTTCATCCCAATGAATCTCTAGCAGACTCACAGAGGAGGAAAGGATTTTCTCATTTTACAGGTGAGGAAACTCGAGATACATGGAGGTGCCAAGGCCTGTGGAGGTCATACAGAACCGAGAGTAGAAGTTGAACAATCAGCAAAGTCTATCACACGAAAAAGGAAATGTGATAAGGACACAATGAGCATATCGTTCAAATAGAACAGAGCTAATGGGCAGCATAAATTCTTTCAATGATTTTTTAAACCAAACTCCCTACTTGAAACTTAATCAGAAATTTATTGTGCAAGTTGGGACACTGAAGGTCAAGGTTTTGAAGTTACACTCCAAATAGCTCTCCTCCTGTCTCCTAAAATACAGCAAGACCAGGAAATCATGTCACCAAGCAATGAGCCAAAAAACAAGAGTTCCCCGCAATATAAAGAGATGCAGAAGGAAGAGCCAGAGATCAATCCTCCTAATTCATGGGAAGATAGGCAATGGCTTGTCCCCCCAGCTACAAAAGGTGGTGATAATGGTCCCTACCTCCCAAGGTTTTTGTATGATAACAGCCTGAGTTAACACATGACACAGTGATAGTGCCTGGCATATGATCAGCTTGATTGGCTAGCTATACTTTCCCCTGGGTTCCCTTAAAGATATGCACACCCAGTTTGAGAAACATGGTGATAAAAAAAAAAAAAAAAAAAAAAAAAAAAAACTCTTCTAAAAGCACAAAGCTTCCCCATTATTAGCAGTGCAAGTTAAACAAAGGGCACACTGTCCCAAGTCCCTCTGTGACCCTCAGCAGACATAAGAGCAGCACTTCATTGTTCAGCTGTGTTCAACTAATAGCGGAGTAGATGGTGGCATACCCATGAAACATTCATTGTGTTCATGGAAGGTGCAGAGCATCAAAAACACGTGCCAATAAAAATGGACAGAATATATCCCATGTGAAGGGTGATTACGCAAAAATTATGGTGCCTCCAAATTTTATAATGTTTAATTGTATTTTTACCTTCATGTTTTATGTAATTTAATTAAATGTGTAATCTGTCACAAAACTACTTGGGAAGGATGTCTATATAATATATATGAAAAAAAGGGGAAAACATACCATTTTTCACTTGAAAGGGCCAACCATGTTTATTTTTTTTTTTTTTTATCTCCGACAGGCAGAGTGGACAGTGAGAGAGAGAAAGGTCTTCCTTTTGCCGTTGGTTCACCCTCCAATGGCCGCCGCTGCAGCCGGCGCACCGCGCTGATCCGATGGCAGGAGCCAGGATCCAGGTGCTTTTCCTGGTCTCCCATGGGGTGCAGGGCCCAAGCACCTGGGCCATCCTCCACTGCACTCCCTGGCCATAGCAGAGAGCTGGCCTGGAAGAGGGGCAACCGGGACAGAATCCGGCGCCCCGACCGGGACTAGAACCCGGTGTGCCGGCGCCGCAAGGTGGAGGATTAGCCTATTGAGCCACGGCGCCGGCCTAGGCCACCCTTTTTAATACCTATGTCTGCTACATGGATCCAGGCTTTCTGCCCTTCATTTCCTGCCTAACTTTATAACAATTTCTGAACCACAGATTCAACAACGAAGGGACTGCAGACTTCACCTGTTGGACAAGATCTTCATGTTAAAGCCATCATAAGAGGAGATAAATTTGCACAATCAAAATAATTCAGAGAAATCTGTTCAGTCTTCTGTGCAAAACAGAGAGCTACAGGTGACCAGGAACTATTTAAAATCAGCAATAATTTAAAGCCAAGTTCTTTTCTTTGACAGGTATGCAATTAGAGGTAAATGGCTCCTAGAGTAGTTGAATAAGTAGTGTGTGTGTGTCTTCAAAATGATATCTCCAATATCTGAAATTTATTATTTTATCATTTTTTTTTTTGCTGAATGACTACTCTTGCTGGTTTCTCCTTGAATAAGGGCACACAGAAGATTATTCTGAAGTACCTTTGTTTCATGTGATGAATTTCTTGCTTATTCTATATGCTCTAGACAGAAGCAACCTACCCTCTTTGAATGTTATGTTTCATCCAGACATAACTGCTTTCAGCCAGCTTTTACCCCAGTGCCACATTTAGCCGGAATGCATTTGCATAATAGTATTGCTAATTAAATTTTATATGGTCATGCCAGGAAGTCAGATCTTTCATTTTAGCAATAATGGGCTCTGCATATAACCTTTGTCCAGTACTGGAATTAGAGAAGCAGTTCTGAACTGGTCCATTTGACTTCCTTCTTGAACTCCCACCTGCAGTGTATCATTTTAGGTATACAAGTACTTAACTGATTAAGATTTCAGGACTTTCCAACTTATTTACTTAGGCTTTGTTTAAATTCTATCACAGCTACTAAATGCCACTGCCAACATCTGCTGCTTATCTGGCCAAGGATTAGTATCCAGAATGTATAAAGAACTATTACAACTTAGTAACTAGAAAACACACAATCCAATACAAAATGAGAAAAATATTGAGTAGACATTTCTCAAAGGAAGATATCCAAATATTCAATTAGCATATGAAAGATGTCCACATCATCAGTCTTCAGGAAATGCAAATCAAAAACGTAAGAAGATGATAACTGAATGGATAATATTTTTTTTTGACAGGCAGAGTGGACAGTGAGAGAGAGAGACAGAGAGAAAGGTCTTCCTTTGCCGTTGGTTCACCCTCCAATGGCCGCCGCGACTGGCGCGCTGCGGCCGCTGCACCGCGCTGATCGAAGGCAGGAGCCAGGTGCTTCTCCTGGTCTCCCATGGGGTGCAGGGCCCAAGCACTTGGGCCATCCTCCACTGCACTCCCCGGCCACAGCAGAGAGCTGGCCTGGAAGAGGGGCAACCAGGACAGAATCCGGGGCCCCAACCGGGACTAGAACCCGGTGTGCCGGCGCCACAAGGCGGAGGATTAGCCTAGTGAGCCGCGGCGCCGGCCTGATAATAGTTTTTAAAATGTAACAAAACCAAGTACTGGCAAAGATGTTGAGGAACTAAAACATTTATGTATTTTCAGTAGGAATGTTTATTTTATAATCATATTGAATGGTAGATTATTATAAAGTTAACATATACTTCCTATATGACCCAGCCACTTCTCAGGCATTTATTTAAAAACAGTGTAAGTATATTCATACAAAGACAGGCATACAGTCTTTTTGAAATCTATAATGGAGTCAAACTGAAAGCTCATATGTCCACCAACAGACACACAAACCCTGGTATGTCCATGTACTAGAATACTACTCTGCAATAAAAAACAGTGAAACCGAATGAACAAAATGTTCTTTGAATGAATTAATAGAGATATTTATTCTCAGTCTCATGCAATGTTCTTCTTCCTCTCTGCATTTTTTTCTAGTTTTTGTAGCAGGACTTACACAAATGGGCACCCTAGGGGTAACTCTGGCAAACAACAACATGAATGAAAACAAAAATATTATCAGTGAAAAAAAAAACAAAATATACACACCACAAAAGTAACTATGCGAGGGTCCAGGGCTGTGTCGCAGCGGGTTAACACCCTGGCCTGAAGTGCTGGCATTCCATATGGGTGTCGGTTCTAGTCCCAGCTGCTCCTCTTCCGATCCAGCTCTCTGCTATGGCCTGGGAAAGCAGTAGAAGATGGCCCAAGCTCTTGGGCCCCTGTGCCCATTTGGGAGACCCAGAAGAAGCTCCTGGCTCCTGGCTTTGGATTGGCGCAGCTCCAGTCGTTGCAGCCAACTGGGGAGTGAATCATTGGTTGGAAGACCTCTCTCTCTCTCTCTCTGCCTCTCCTCTCTCTGAGTAACTCTGACTTTCAAATAAATAAATATTTAAAAAAAAAGAAAGAAAAAAGAAACTATGTGACATTCTAGTAAGCAAAACCAATCAATTTGGATAGAAATATGATCAAGGGTTGTTTGGTATGTGCATGGAGGGTATTGTTTGAGAAGTGGCATAAGTAAACTTTCTAGGATGAGGAAAATACTCTTTGTTGATACACATTTGTCAAAACTGACTAAAAGGTGAGTATCCTTTATTTTTAAAAGTGCCTATCTCAGTAGTACTGTTTTGTGAATGCAAAGAGCAATGCCTGTAAACCATTAGCATAGAGATCAACACACAATAGGTGCATTTTCCTAAGTAATATTAGGCACTTCTTGTTCCAAATTGGAAACTATAACAAGCTAAGAGAAACAAGCCTTATAAAAGTCACCTATCAGTTTAAACTTTCTCCTTAAAGCTCAAAGGCTTGGAATATTATGAAATCAATTCTAAGAGCTTCAAAGGAAATGAATTAAGGAGAAGAAGAAGGAAAATGTCTTCTCTTAAAGAGATAAGAAGAAAGAAAAGATTAATTTTCTCACCAACTTAAAATAATGCCTTTGTTTATATAATTAACTACTGCTCATATGCAAAACCTAGAAGACAGGTAAAGTTTGTGCAAAGTTTGCAACCTAACAAAACATGTTTTATTAAAGCAAAGAAAGCATTAATTATAAGTTGTTGTTTAATTACAGTAGGAGACCATGAGGTAGTTTAGGAAAGTCCTTCAGTTTTCTATAAAGGACTCACGGTTTAAAGTTCACAACTACCTTAAACATAATTACATCCTGGGGCTGGCACTGTGGCGCAGCAGGTTAAAGCCCTGGCCGAAAGTGCCGGCATCCCATATGGGTGCCGGTTCTAGTCCCAGCTGCCCCTCTTCCAATGTAGTTTTCTGCTATGGCCTGGGATAGCAATAGAAGATGGCCCAAGTACTTGGGCCCCTGCACTCATGTGGGAGACCCAGAAGAAGCTCCTGGCTCCTGGCTTCAGATCGGCACAGCTCCAGGCGTTGTGGGTATCTGGGGAGTGAACCAGCGGATGGAAAACCTTCTCTCTCTGTCTCTGCCTCTCTCTGTAACTCTTTCAAATAAATTAAAATTAAAATTAAAATTAAATAAAATAATTTACATCCTAAAACCTACTCTGATGCTTAGACACTCTGAAATCCAGAGACTAATGGAACAATTCAAACTTTCTGGCACTGAGGAGAACTAATGTAAAAAGAGGAATTTGAGATTGTTTATCTCATCCAAAAAGAACTCAGAGTTTGTGAGCAAAAGTGTAGATTTCTGCCATATTTCTTGGTATGAAGGAGGCGAAAAGTGATTGGAAATAAATTCATGGAAGTAAGAATTTCAGAACACTTTGCTATGTCAGCTTATGTTCCTTCTTCGTAATTCTGTTTCCTTAGCTTTTACCTAGGTTTATTTAAAAGATCCCCTCCAAATGTACCCAAGACCAGCCCTAGCTTGGAACTAACAAGGGCTTGGTATTAATTTCTTGTCTGACCAACTAGTCCTGGGATTAAAGATGCCATCGATGCCCTTTGGGGCCATTATAGGCACTTGGTGTTCTCTATCTAACCGTGCTCTGAAAGCCTGGACCCCTTCAAAGCAGATCAACATGAACAGACAGCAGGCAGATCAGCTGGACACAGCTGCTGTTATAAATGAGATGGTGTTATTTGTGCCCAGTGTCAGTTTGGCTGTACCACTGAACTGTGAACTTGACATGTCTAACAAGTGGAAACGTGCGGCACAGCAGTTTTCATACTGTCACAAAATGTAACAGTGTGTAGACCATGCATCTTTCTTAACTGGCTCCACCAGTAGACTCAGTGACTATTCCACTTTTGTTCATTTAGGCTTATTCTTTTTAATTGACATATAATAATTGTGCACAATTTCAAAATGATTTCCTCACTCTATGAGCATACAGTACGTGGGAGCAAAATTATCTTTAAGCCAGAATGATGGTGGGAGCGGCTGTCAATGAACCAAATTCCCTAAATTCATTGGGCATTATAGGATCCTGGTGTTAGAGCCAAGAAGAAACACCAAATCACGCCCAAGAACATGTGGTTATGGGTAGAGACAAAGTAGTGACCATCAAAGTTTGAATTTCAATGTGTTTGTGTTGGTCATGGTGTCCCTAGAACTGAAGTATTTAGACTGCATACTAACGGCTTCTTTTGTATATGCAGGGAAGCTTTACATCTGGTGAACAGATGTTTGAATTGAGTTACCATATTAGATTGTTGTGGCTCTCAACCAATCTTCAGATTTGAGTCAGTTCCCTGTCCAGTTCAGGGCCTGGACTGTGGGGAAGGAAGAAGGCATCCAGGGCATAACACCCAAGGAGGCACCCACTCTTGGGGTCTTGCAAATGCAGAATTTGTACTTGCATAACCATGATGATAATCATCTCCTTATATATTGTGCACAAGGGGTGGGCATTTGGTTCAGTTGTTAATATGTCTGTATCTCACAATGGAGTACCTGAGTTCAATTCCTGGCTCTGGCTCTTGACTTAGCTTTCTGATAATGCAGATTGTGGGAGGCAGCAGTGATGGCACAAGTGACTGGTTTGCTAGCCTCCATGTGGAAGACCTCAGCTCCTGGCTTTGACCTCATCTCATCCCCAGTTGTTATGCACATTTGGAAAGTGAAACAGCAGACAGGGGCTCTGTCACTCCAATCCCCACTTCTATACAAATAAACAGAAATTTTTAACACAAGTCCTTCCCTTGTCTCACCCTAGCCCCAGTCCTAACAGAGTCTGTTGAATTAAAGTGAGGGCAAGCCCCCTAGAGGAAGAAACCTGCTACAGAGCAAAACTTCACAGTGAATCTCACTTCTAGCCTTTTCTAGAAGGACCTGGGGCCATTCACCAGAGTGACTGTGAAAGGGAAGGATAATTAATAAAATATTTGAGAGATGAGTGGGCAATGGCTCTAATGGGAACTAAATTCTGGAGCCCAAACACTAGTGTACTAGATAGTACAGGCATTTATGAAGGTCAAGTGATCAACTAAGTTTGATAAAGTCTTTCTAATAGTGATCTCAATGAATTCCAACCCACCCTTTTTGTGATTTCCCCAGCCTGGAATGCATACTTGGAATACTCATGCTCAGCAATTGGCAAACTCCCCACATTGGTTCCCTGATCTGTGAAGTGAAGATGTTGTGGTGGAAAGGCCAAAAGGAAGCCCCCAAAGCTGCCTCTACTTACCAAAAGAGTAAACTAAAAGCAATACTACATGCGTGGAGGGATTTTATAGATTATTATTAACTAATCAAAGATTTGAAAGATGCAAGAGAGTGATTCCTACTATGACCCATTATATTCACCTATTTGGCCTGTATAGAAGACAAATTAATCTAGGAGAATGACAGTGGATTTTCAGAAACATAATCATGCTGTGATTCAAATTGCAGATACTATTCCAAATGTAGTTTTATTGTTGTATCAAATCAATATGTCCCTAGCAAGTGAATGCAGTCATTGATCTGGCAAATGCTTTTCTCTCTATACCTGTTAGCAATGATCATAACCATACAAAGCTATTTGCTTTCAGCCGAAAGGATCAGAACTCTATCTTCACTATCCTCAGAGAAACAGCCACTCTCCAGTCCTATGTCTTAATTTTGTTCAAGGACTCTATCATCTCTTCATTCCACAGAACATATTGGTGACATCATGCTGATTTTTCCCACTGATGAACTGAAAGGATCAACTCTTAGTAATGTTTTTCACATCTTTATATCAAAAGCAGAAACCCTGAATGCTTTTGTCTTATCTTTTTTTTTTTTTTTTTTTGGACAGGCAGAGTTAGACAGTGAGAGAGAGATACAAAGAGAAAGGTCTTCCTTCCTTTGGTTCACCCCCCAAATGGCCGCTATGTCCAGCGCCCTGTGCTGATCCGAAGCCAAGAGCCAGGTGCCTCCTCCTGGTCTCCCATGAGGGTGCAGGGCTCAAGGACTTGGGCCATCCTCCACTGCCTTCCCAGACCACAGCAGAGAGCTGGACTGGAAGAGGAGCAACCAGGACAGAATCTGGCACCCCAACTGGGACTAGAACGCAGGGTACTGGTGCCGCAGGCAGGGGATTAGCCTAGTAAGCTGCAGCGCTGGCCTGTCTTATCTTTTTAAGGAATTTTGTCAAGCAACTAACACTGCAAGACAGACAGACTGTCTCCCTCCAAAGAAAAGATTAAGCATGCTTACCACACAATATAATACTGACAATATCTCCTTCTAGAGCAACGGGCAGCCATTATAAAAGATTCAAGGTCCTAGCAGGTAAAGCCAGCGCCTGTAGTGCTGGCATCCCATATGGGCGCCGGTTCGAGTCCCGGCTGTTCCACTTCTGATCCAGCTCTCTGCTATGGCCTTGGAAAGCTTTAGAAGATGGTGCAAGTCCTTGGGCCCCTGCACCCACATGCGATACCTGAAAGAAGTGCCTGGCTCCGGGCTTCAGATTGGCACAGCTCCAGCTGTTGCGGCCATCTGGGTGATGAAAGACCAGTGGATGAAAGACCTCTCTCTCTCTCTTTCTCTGCCACTGCCTCTCTGTAACTTTGCTTTTCAAATAAATAAATAAATTTCTTTAAAAAAATTCAAGGTCCTAAAGCTCAGGAACTGATTACATGTACACAACATTCTCTGTGGATTGCCCTCCAGGACCTCAGGCTTGGATAACTGGTGTAAGTGCTGTTGCTGTGATTACTAATATTGCCAGGAGTATAAAGTCCCTTATCTCAGACTCAGGGATCTCAAATCTTCTACCAATATCCATAAAACACAATTTGTTAGCATACAAGTGAGGCAAAATATTAAGAGGCTTAACAGTTCTTGACACCAATTACTTCATATACCTTACCTTGATAAAATATTAAATATGGGAAGTAAATCCCATGAAAATCCAGAGAGGTACTATCACCTGGGATAAATTTATAGACTAGTGGTCTGGACGTTGTTAAGATATCCCTTGCAAGATGAAGAAAAAGTTACTACTTCAGGCCTCTCTTGTCACTAAGATAAAGAGGTAACACATATCCCATCAATGCTTTCTACACCAACCCATTTATTGAACAATTTAGCAGTTTTGGATAAGGTCAAAAATAGTGTTCATGAAATTATGGAAAGGTTTATTCCCTATCTTGTTATTCCACACAGCATGACTTCTGACCAAGAGACTCAGTTTTGAGGAAATTAAATGTATCTGTAGGCGCCTGTTCATGGAATCCACTGATCTTACTATGTTCCAAATAGCTAGGTTCACAGAACAAGGAAATGGCTTTTGTTACATTATCGGCTTGATGGTAAATAGCATGTATGACATGTTCTAGACGAGCCATCATTATATGATTTTATTTTCCATAGCCAGAATTCACAGGTCTGGAAATCAAACAGTGGAAATAGGAGTAAGTTCTCTCTCTACCAGTTTTATCCCCAGTGAAAATTTTTTTCTCCCATTCTTACGACCTTGGGCTCTGCTGGTCAGGGTTTTTAGTTTCTGAGGAGGAGATGCTTCTATTAGACCTATCAATGGTTCCATTAAAATAGAAGGTAAAGCAGCCAAGTAGTCAGTTTGGGCTCCCCATGCCAATAAAGCAACAAGAAGAAGTTACCGTACTGGCTGGAATGATGAATCCTGTCTATCCAGGAAAGACTGAGTAGTAACTACATATCAGAGTTCAAATATATGTCTGGTATGCAGGGAAATTCTTGGTCGGAGTTAAAATATATGTCTGGTATGCAGAGAAATTATTGGTCTTCTCGCAGTACTTCCAGTGCTCCCTAAACAGTCAATGTCAAACTGCAGTACCCCATAATAGAAGGACTGCTAATAAGCAGAGCCTGTTGAACCTTGTTTCTCAGGGGGATCCTGGATAATGCAGTTGCAATGGACTGTGAATTCATTTTTGAATAATTATTTAGTCATCTTGTGAAAAGTCTGGTTATATTGCATTGCATTTCTGTTTTCATTTGTTAAATGTAAATATTTTATAAAAATTACACAATTCGCCCTTTAGCTCATTCTACTCTAGCCTTCTTACCATTCTGCAGTTGCACCTCAAATATTTTGCATTTGGTTCTTCTTCTGCTGGAAATGTTTTCCTCTGAAATACCTGCATGGGCTCTTCTCAGGCTTTCTTCAGAATCTCACTCAGATATATCTGCAGTGAGACTACAGCTCTTGTCCTACACTGGCTCCTCGGGGTTCACTAAGACTTACCAGATACACAGAAGGCCAACCGCTTGCTGGAGACTTCATTCCTGGGGGTGGGAGATGATAGGATGAATCAATCACTATGAAATTTTGAGATAATCAAAAGGGAAAAACTGACCAAAAAGTGTACATCTATGTCCAAATAACTGCATTTTAAATTCTCAATATTAATTTAGAATTATTTTAGAATTTGAAGGATTATAAAATTCACTAATAACTTATTTATATACCATGATACCTGTATAGAGCCACTTTGTATTTCTTGTCAAAGGGTTTTCCATTTATATCATGTAAGTAATCTCTGATTATAAAAGTGATACATGTTTGTTGAGAAAACATGAAAATACAGAAAAAAATAAGAAAAATCTAAATCACCTGTGTCACACTATCCAGAGATAAGCCACACTAAGGTATTAATGATTTGCCTTTTAGAATTATTTATGTGCATTAATTATATATACATCATTGTAAAATCTCAAGATTTTATTTCCTTTTTAAGAGTTTTTATGGTTAACTCTTTAAAAGCTTAAGAATTTTTTATCTATTATTTGAGAGGCTGAGAGAGACAGAGACAGAGACAGAGACAGAGAGACAGAAAGCTCCCACCAGCTGGCTTTTTACCTCCTAAATTGCTGAAACAACTAAAGAGACTCAAACATAGTCAACCCAAGATGTCCCAACTGATGTCACCTCCTAGATGAAAGGCTAGCCTCTATTTTCTGTTTTATTTTTGTCATATTTTCCTATGTTAAAATTCTTCGTAAGCAGAATTTTTACTAGCTTCATATAACATACTCTCTAAGATGGCTGGATCATAATTTGTCTAACTATACTTTTATGATATTCACATTACTCCTATTTTATCATATATTATAACATTTCCTATCATATTTAAAACATTTATTAATGTATCATATTTAATACATTTTCTCCAAATATTTTGTGAGCCATTTTTATGTTTTCATATTAACTTTGCCTTTCAGTTTTAATCTAGGTCCAAAAATAAATTACTTTGCAAAAAAAAGAAAATTTTAAATATCTTGATCAGTTTGGTAATATAGAAATAATAGCTGAATGTTCTGTTACTTAAAACCATTTTTCTTTTTACCTTCATAGATATTTTAAGCCTCAAGTGTTGTTTTCCTTTCTCCTAATTACAACTCAGATACAGAATCTGAATCAATCCAATTTTCTCAAGCCACCAACTAGGGGGTGGGATGGGAACACTTCTCAGTGCACAGTTACTGAGAAGGCACACTTAAGGTTGTCTGATTTAGCCAATACAAATATAGGATGCTTAGTTAATTTGCATTCAGATAAGCAACAAGTAATTGTTTCGCTTAAGTACACTCCAAATATTGCATGGTACATACTTAATGCTAAAAAAAAAAAAAAAAGGGTATTCATTGTTTATCTGTGCTTTTCCGACATCCAGAAAAGTGTGCAGTGGACCCAGGCCTCCTGCTGCCTCACCCTACTTTGCACATGGGGAATTGTCAGGCCTTTTCTTTCTTTCCTCCCCCTTTCCCCAGTTCTGGGTCTCTGCTCTGGAAATTCCCAAAGGAACCACAGAGAATTTGATTTGGTAACTTGAAGATTCTGGTTCCACTGGTGGGAGTGAGATGCCTACTTTCTGGGTTCCCCTGAACAACTATGGCAGAGGTGGTACTTCCTGCCCTCAGGAAAGTGTCAATCATTGAGGCCCTGGGAAGGAGTTCATTGGAGTACAGGGGCAGTACTTCCTGGTGGAGCAGCATGGAGGATGCTGCAGAACTGGTTGTCTGTGTGGAAGAAGCACTGCTGTCTCTACCCTGAGTGCTCCCCCGGGGCCTACACCAGTGAGAAGGTACAATTCTTAAGAGCAGCAGTCCCGGTTGCAGTTTTAAAGGAGGTGCAGTCTATGCAAGAATGTAATCGAACAAGAGAGAGATGCTCTTTGGCTCATGGGCCCTTCCTGTGTACTGTGCAGACTTCTGTCTGCCTTCCCAACTCAATGCACAGAACCTGTTTACAGGGTTATGACTATGCCACGAAATCCTCTTTTATCAGCCATTTCCAGGACAATTACGCAGCCACAGCAGTAATGGATCTGAAGACACTATAATGCATTTGGATTTCAGCAGAGCCCTTGATAGTCAAATAGTGAGACAAAATCAGGTCAAGTTGTACATTATACCGGGTCAGACAGTGTCCTTGCTTTTCCTGATACAATGCACTTATAGCAACTATTGCCTTTATTTCTGGCCATGCCTAAATCCCACAACATGGGGTACGTATATATGTGTATCAGGATGGGGTGGAGGAGTGTGTATTTTACAGTGTCCAAAGTGTACCCCATAATTTGGAAAATACTAAATACAGAAAAGTCTAACAATGAAATTTAACTCATTTTCTTGCCATTCACCCAAATCACTGTTAATATTTTGGATTACATTTTTCCAATTATATTTAGGCAGCTGTTTTTAATTTAGCTTTCTTTTTATACAGTTATAATAATCACATTGCACATGTAATAGCTTGTATTAATCCTTTTATTCTACATTAATTCATAAGTATCTTTCTACCCTATTACTTAAAATTTTTCTGATTGCAAATGACTTTAACAATATTAGACTTTATACTTTCACATGCCCTGAGGCAGGGCTGGTTTCCCTTGAGTGCTCAAACAATTATCAACAAGGAACTCCTTTTGTCTCTGTGCTCTGGCTGGAAGTGTGGGATTTTGCCTGGAAAGAGCAAAACTCTGCCTCCTATAAGGACTCATGAGGTGGCAATTCCCCAAATGCAGGAAAGGGTTTAGATGCTGGGCAGTTAAAATGAGTATTAAATGTTAATGATTCTGTTTCCTACACATTGCTGTGAAATGTTTGATAATATGTGTACAAACTCAGCACAGTGCCTGGCATGTGGCAAGGGAGCTCATTTACTATTTTTTTATTTAAAAAATTTTTAAAGACTTATTTACGGGGCTGGCGCTGTGGCGCAGTGGGTTAAAGCCCCAGCTGGCAACGGCGGCATCCCACATGGGTGGTTCGAGTCCTGGCTGCTCCACTTCCGATCCAGCTCTATGCTATGGTCCCAGAAAGCAGCAGAAGATGGCCCAAGTCCTTGGGCCCCTGCACCCACATTGGAGACCTGGAAGAAGCTCCTGGCTCCTGGCTTTGGATCAGCTCAGCTCTGGCCATTGTGGTCATTTGGGGAGTGAGCCAGCAGAATGGAAGACCTCTCTCTCTCTCTCTCTCTCTGGTTCTACTTCTTTCTGTAACTCTTTCAAATAAATAAAATAATTCTTTAAAAAAAAGAATGACTTATTTATTTATTTAATTGAAAGGCAGAGTTAGGAAGTGGGGAGAGAAAGAGAGAGAGAGAGGGAGAGACAATCTTCCATCCACTAGTTCATTCCCCAAATGACTGCAAATGGCCAGAGCTGGGCTAATCTGAAGCCAGGAGCCAGGAGCTTCTTCCAGGTCTCCCACATGGGTGCAGGGGCCCAAGCATTTGGGCCATCTTCAGCTGCTTTCCCAGGTACATTAGCAGGGAGCTGTATTAGAAGTGGGTAGCTGGGCTCAAACCAGCACCCATATTTGATGCCAGCGCTGCAGAGGGCAGCTTTACTCGCTATACCACAGCACCAGCCCTGCACAGTAAACTTGTAAGTTTCATAATAATGATGAGGAATAAGAGAGAATGTTGCTCCATCAGGAAGTTTTAACTCTGCAAACCTGACTCTCATCTTGACACATCAAGCAGAGGCATCAGGTACCATCTGGCTCAGGGGTAGGCCATCAGATTTAGGCTCTTTGGTTGCCAATCTAGAAGAATACAGGGAACAGAGACAGAGAACAAGCTAAAGAATGCCATGGAGACCTATTACCAAAACCCAGACTGTGAAAAATTGTAGAGAGCAAACCACGGGTGTTTTGTTTTAAACAAATAAATTGAAAGGAAAAAAAAAAGATGATGGTCTTTTATATTAAAGGCATTCAAGATATATCAACTAATTCCAGAGTATGAACTTTTTTTTTTTTTTGACAGGCAGAGTGGACAGTGAGAGAGAGAGACAAAGAGAAAGGTCTTCCTTTGCCATTGGTTCACCCTCCAATGGCCACCGCGGCTGGTACGCTGCTGCTGGCGCACCGCGCTGATCCGAAAGCAGGAGCCAGGTGCTTCTCCTGGTCTCCCATAGGGTGCGGAGCCCAAACACTTGGGCCATCCTCCACTGCACTCCCTGGCCACAGCAGAGAGCTGGACTGGAAGAGGGGCAACCGGGACAGAATCCGGCGCCCCTACCGGGACTAGAACCGGGGGTGCCAGTGCCACAAGCCGGAGTATTAGCCTATTGAGCCGCGGCGCTAGCCCAGAGTATGAACTTTAAGAATGTACTACTCAGTGTGAAAGGGTCCCAGTTTCTCCATATCCTCATCATCCTTTGTTATTTTCTATTGGTTTGTTTTGATAGAAGCCACTTTGATGGATATAAGGTGCCCATGGCATTGATTCTTATGCAGATTTTATTTGTAACATTAACTAATCATGTGATGTGAATCACTGGGATTTCCAAAGCAGATTATAGATATTTTTATGGCAAAGATCTGTCATATGCTTCTTTTATTTCCTAACAATGCCTAATCAGCATTCTGTATGTAGTGGAAGTGATAAATCTGATTGATTACATATAGATATATTTATTCAGAATGTTAATATGTGCAGTAGGCTGCTGCTATTCATTTGTATTTCTTTCCAAAAGACTTGCCACAAAGGAAGACTTAAAGCATGTTATGCTAACAAATAAATTACTGGACTTTGAAATTCATTTATTTAGCAAGCATTAATTGAACACTTAGATGCTAGGAATTCAGTGGTGAATGAGCCTGATTCAGTTCCCCTCTCATGAAGCTTTCTTTCTAGCAATAACGTCATTCAATCAATTTAAATAACTAATCACTCAATTACAATTTTAAGTGAAATGTACTAGAAATCAGAAAGCTAAGGCAGTACATAACAAGGATACTTTGCATGATCTAGAGGGTTAGTGGTAATAAATATA